AATGTCCGTTATCGTGGGGTTGGGCAAACGTTTTGGAAATTTTCCGTTGGAGCTTGGGTAGTTACAAACTTACCCACGTGACTTTCGATCCACCTGACATACGAGCTAACACGAGCATATACGGAAAAGGTGTTTCCGGGACAAGTACGGCTCGTTACCCATGAAGCTGCACCGCGAACAAACCAGCGACCACCCTCAAAGCATGACAAGGGGCCGCCACTATCGCCGTTGCAGACACTGCTTCCTTGTCCTCCAACGCATACCATGGAGCTTTCATCCACTGTGCCACCATTTTTACTTCGGCAGGTATTGTGACTGGCTACCGGAGCCTTAGCTTGTTTAAGACGAGGAGCAAGTGTATTTGTATTTGAATTTATCCTACCCCAACCTGAATAGAGACGGTGAACATCCAAGAAATGGAACTTCATTTAATACCATTTTTATTAAACGGTTAATCGGATGATCATCTTTTCAATCATTCTCCGATTTAGTCAATCAATCATTCAATCGATTGATTAATCATTTACTCTATAAACCACTTAGTCAGTGTGTAGCGATGAAAGCAGCGTAATTTTCTTTCACTTTTCATTGTTACCGCTTTTGGAATACTGATTTCTTTAGAGTTAATTGTAGTTGTGGCCTCAGAATTTTGTTTTTTGTGCTGACGCAAGATAAAAGCAAGCTTTACCAATTTGAATGACCCACCACAAGCTGAGTTTTCTCACCAGATTACCTGTTACGTAACACTGTGTTCCTAGACTGACTCGTGATCCATGTTTTGGCAGGCAAACGGTTTGGATTTTGCTATTGAGGCTTACACGGGTCGCCAGTTTCAGCACTGCTACGTCATGGCGTAGATGTTGCATGCTAAAAGATGGATGTTTGATCACTCTAAAAACTTTAAACACTTGTCCGTCTCCAGTTCTGCTATGAGCCCCTGATAGAGGTAAAAATGCCGTAAGGAATGAGTTAGAGATCGTGCGTTAACGCTGGTATTTGTAGGTCTGTTTCATTAGCTCCAGATTGAAATAGCAAATTCACAGTCTGTTTTTTGGGTAAAATCTACGTTATCATAGTGAACCAATTAATCTTTTGCATTTCGACCCCTTAAGGGACTCTTCTTTACGTTTAAAATCTATGATTAAGGCTTTTCTGTACGAAAACCTAGCAAGAAAAAAAACAAAACAAACAAAAACGGATTATCATTAAAACAAAGGAAGATAGTCCATTGCCTCTTCGCTTCAAAAGATAAGAACTTTC